GTTGGCTTTCTTTAAGGCATATTGACTGAAGTGCCTTGGAGATGGTTCATACTGTATATTACCCCATAAGATGAGAGATTTTGGAAGAAAGAAAGAAATGCTTGGAAGGTATTTTTCAAATTCGATGGGAAAAGAGAACAATGGACATTAAACATGCTGAGAGTTCAGTCGCTCTTCAAAATTTTACAAATCACGAATTTTCAGGCAGATCCATATGCTGTGGATCCAAAAAATGGTGAGTAATACATGGCTCTACTCCAAGTCTTACATTTTGCTCTAAAACAACCTAGGCAATATGCCCTTTTTTATATTGAGAGAGGAACGGAAGCATGCCCTTCACTCAATCCGCAAGTAGTAACAAGGTGCATCTTGTTTATGTGCACACTGATCTTTGTCTCTTCAAAATGTGAGATATTGCTGAAGTTGGGGTGAAGCTAAGGATGATGGTGACTTTGTTTCTCTCTATAACAATAGATATAATATTTGCATGTTCTAAGATTATCGGTTAACTAACTATCAAGTAAAATTTTATATAATATGATATATTTCACAGGCAACGTTTAGTTTGTGATCAAAAGGGATGTAATATTTGGATTGATCGTGACCGTCCATGAAGTATTGCCACTGATAATTGGCGAAGTCCAGTGGCTTTTAGTTATATGGATGATTTAGAACTTTGCAAATGAATGTGTGGACAAAGAAATTAAAAAAAAAATCTAGGGTGCTCTTTGCAAGCAAAAATAAAACTTTCCCATCAATGTAGTTGATTAAAGTGGGTTTCCAAGACAATAAACGGCCTAAATTTTCTTAAGTGATAAATTTCAAAATTTCAGAAACAGAACTNTCTTTCATCTTGGATTTCTTCGCTTGAAGCTTCTTTGCCCTCTTCTCCCTTTCTTCCTTCTCCTCTGCAAATTTTGCAAATAAACACAAATTTAAACCTAAATCGTAGAAAAGGCACAATCTTTATAACAAATTTTAGGGAGAGGTTCGATGACTTGAATACTTTGGAGTTCGAATTCGTACTGCCTTCTCCTCTTCGCTAAATTATTCTTCTTCGACATTTTCTCCCCTCGCCTCCTAAAACCCTAGAGCCTCTTTAATCTCCGCTGATTTTACGAGAGGACGATTTATAATTTATAGCAGGCTCATTATTGTCAATATTACCAAAATGCCATTTTATGGCTTTATTAAAACGGACCTGGCCCGTTTTCTTAGATGGTCCTAAATGTTTTGAGGGCCCAGAACTATGAGGTTTCTCAAAGTGGTTTGGATCATGGTATTATTATTATACTTTTTTTTTAAAATGGCAACTCTGATCATACTTTTCACAATAAAAAAAATTAAGAGAAAATTATGTATAGTATTACTAAATGTAAAATTTGTTTGCAATTCACTCATATTTGGATAGCTAAGCCCTTCTCTCTCTCTCTCTCTCTCTTTACTTTCAATTGCAATATTAGAAAATTGTAATCTTTTTGCACTGATGAGTAAAATTAAGCAGGGGATGTTTTCTCCGGTGAAAATTATGACTAATGTAGCGAGGAGGGTTTGTTAATAAAATCTGAAATTTAAAAAGGGTTTCCTGATAACCATTGATAAAGGTTTTTTTTTTTTTTTGAAAGTTATGGGGTGTTAGCTGGTAATTGTCCAAAGTTAGGAGCGGTTTTCTGATATTTAGTTTATTTGTTAACTAAGGGCCTGTTCGTTTGCCTTAAAAAAATGGGAAATCAAAGAAATAGAAAACTATTTCTAAGAAAAATGGGTTTTTGAATTGTTTGGTTGGCTAAAAAAAAGGAAATCAAAGAAATGGAGATGAGATGAGATGAGATGAGTTGTCACATTATTATTGGATGATGTGAGTGATTTTTTAAGAAAACTAGTTTTGATGTTGTTCGGTTGGCGAAAAAAATAAGAAAATGAATTATAAGAAACCTATTTCCTGTAGTTTTGTTGTTTTCTTTTGTTTGGTTCATTCTTAAAAATAAGAAATGAAATGAGATGAGATGAGTTGTCATTGTATTATTGGGTGATGTGAAGAAAGATTAAGAAAAGTGTTTTCACAACTTTTTAGGATGAAAACAAGAAATGAAATGTTAATGAGATGAAGTGAATTGTTATAATATTTTATTCGATGATGTGAGTGATTTGAAATGATGAAAAGAGATAAGTTGAGTGATGTTTGGATGAAAATAATATTTTATTAGATGTGATAGATGAGTTGTTAGATGAAAATAATATTTTATTAGATGATGTGGATGAGTTGTTAGATAAAAATAATATTTTATTGGATGTTGTGGGTGAGTTTTAGGGATAAAAATGGAAGAAATGGATTATTTTGAGATTTTCACCTTTTCCATTTCCATTTCTTGGTTTTTAGGAAATAAACGAACAGGCCCTAAACAACATTCGCCTTGCTCTTTCAGTCAATCCCTGTTTATGTATCTTTCTCTAAATTAAACAACAAATCAACAAAACTAAAACCTATCAGTTAACTTGAAATCCTTTTCTTATTCTTCTTTTGATCAGAGGAGATCACCCCGAAGTCCTTAACTATCTCAGAATGAACTTACAATGTGTTTGGAAGCCATGGTGTTTTTAAGCTAAATCACCATCAAACAAAAAACACAACACTTATTTTAAAACACCTTTTAGGTGTTTTAAGTTTGATGTTTTGGTTTTGAATTTGAGAATGTGTTAATATAATATCTAATATAATATATTAAATATAATTAATAGAGAGTTATTATCAACATGCTTATTATATTATACTATACACTATACTACATTATAGTTAATTTAATATATTAGTAATATTTATTAAATAATATCAAAATATAATAAATAAAATATCTTATATAATAATATTAACATATTAAATACCAAAAATTAATATGTTAATAATGTATTATATAATAAATAAATAATAATAAAATATAAATAAACTCATAAAAATAATAATAAAGTTATTAATAATAAATAATAATATAATAATATACTATACAATAGTATAATCGCTATAATATGATTAAATTTTTAATAAATAAATTGAAATAAATTAATAATTATAAAATATTATATAATAGTAACATATTTAATAATAACACAACAATATAATAATAATATTATAATAACATATTATATAGTAAATGTAAAATAATATATAAAATATTAATATATTATGTAATAAATAATATAATTTATTATAAAATAAAATAATTTTTAAATAGTATAATATTATATTAATAATAAAATAACATTATTATAAAAATATTAATATAATATACAACAATAACAAATTGATATACCAAAATAATTAAATATATAATTATTTGAAAATAGTATGTAATAATTATAATATAATAATAAATATAATATAATATAACTCATTAAAGTACAATATAATATTACAATACATTATACAATATTATATTGCATTACATTTAATACTTATAATACTATAATAATGTAAACTAAATATTATAATATTTTATTTACAATATATTTTATTATAATTAATATAGAATATATTAATAATATGTTTAATACTAATGTTATAATGAGTCAAACTAGTGTTGACCAAAAATACTTAACATGATGTTTTAAAATCATTTTAAGGGAAAAACACAACATCATGGTGTTTTTTAATATTTGCTTGTTCAGTTTGGGCTTTGGGCCCTCTTTTATGTCCGCTTTCTTGCCTTTGGATATTAGATCGTCAGTCATTTATTAGCTCCATTATAGGGGTTTTTTTTTCCTACAAACCCTCTTTAAAATACGGTTATTTTGTAGAAACCATTTTTTATTGTCAATGTATAGATATAAACTATTTTCAAATATTTTTTTTAGCAATCAATCACTTGGGGCACTTTTCAGTTAGGATTATTATTATTATTATTGGGAAATTGACCTCATCTAATGTCCATTAAGAATCATATCTTTAATATACTTTAGTATCCGACAACTAATCATTACAGAAAAACAGAAAAAATACAACTTAAAAGTGAACATCCACTAAGGATCATATCTCTAATATATACTTAATGTTTGACAACTAATCGCTACAGAAAAATAGAAAAAAGGTGACTTAAAAGTGAACATCCACTAAGGATCATATATCTAATAACCTGGCATTTGACGACTAATCATTTTAGAAAAATAAAAAAAACACGGTTTAAAAGTAAGTCCAGGTGGATGATTGTATCAAAAAACCATTTAAAAACGGTTTATGTACAATTGACAACGAAAGATGGTCTTTGCAACAGTGGCGGTTTTTTTGGATTTTTTGTTCTTTTTTTTTTTTTGG